GTTGAATCATTAGAATATAAACAATCTCTAAACAACGAAATGTCTCAAGCTCAAAACCATTTGCACCATGACAATTTCACAATAATCCAATATATTTCATGAACGCAGCAACATTGCTTTGTTGACCCGTTTCACATGGAGCTGCATTTGCATCGAGTCTCGAATTCCGATTCCGAACTATTCCGAAGTTATTTATGTCGTCTAAAATGAGAAGAGAAGACACGTAATGAAATTAACCTCCAAATCTTGCTTTATATCATATTAATACATAATAATATTATTGATATATTGAATATAAACATGAACGTTGAATCAGGATTTGTAAAAGGCTCATCAGATAATTGGGTCATTCTTCAAAACGGGGACAAATTGACAAGATATTCAATAAGAATGAAAAATGTGTCAAAATCGTTCAATATTCATCCAGTTGTTGTATTTGAACATAATATATATCATATTGAACAGGCCAAGAATTGGATAATTTTTTAATCGATTTATGCTGAAAAAACTGAGAACTCTTCCCATGGAGTTGACGATTTCATCCATGTAGTCGAAAACATTAACATAAACACAAAATTTCTTTTCTGTTATTACCTAAAAATAAATAACAATCTCATCAGAGTTTTGTTCTGATCATATAAATGTTAAATATTAGTACCTTCATAAAATGAATGAAGATTCCATGGAGTTGACCAACATAAAAATGATGCAGAAAATACTACATGTGCTTTCAAAAACTCCAAATGAAAAACGGTTGAGTCGTCTAAAAATTAGAAACGTTGGAAAATTGAGAGAAAAATGAAAAATTTTCCGATTATTTGATCCGAAAAACAGCTTTCATTTCAAAGTATTGCACATTAAAATTGGATCATCTTTGAAGAGGGATCCATTCCTTCGTAATACCTGGAGGATTCGCCACTTTCTTGATTATACAATTGAAATTCACCTCAGATAGATCTTCTTCTTGAGGCCAGATGAAAATCAAATTATTTTTGTTATAGGATACCTACTCGTCTCATGAAGATTATTTCATAAATAGCTCCATGAATAGCATTCACTTGACCAATATGATGAATCCTTTTGAGAACTTCTCCACGGGAAATGTTCTCCAGAAATCTCTGCTACCATACCTTCACTAGCAATGCCAGTCAGACGAACTAGACAAGTCCAGTCAGCACATCCTTTCGTTGTCAACCTCGAAAGATGTCGAACAGCACTTTATCAAAACTCCTTCATCCATAGAACGGCTAGGCTCTGAAATTCATTGCCTGGGGAGGTATTCCCAACGACATATAATCTCCAGAAGTTCAAAAAAGTTCCAATACCTACCTCCTATCCCTATCCTTCCTAGGAACGCACGATGTTCTTTGAACATTATAGGCATTCCCTTTCGTGCGCCTCAAGCGATAAAAAAAAAACAGTTGGCGTCTAACCTCCTTTGATATTTTTTGCCCTTTTGTTAGTTCGGCAACTTCAATTCTCGGAGATTCTCGATTTATTTTGATAGATTGACTTTTCATTCTGTAGTATTTTGTTTTGTATCGTATGGCCTTATTCCTTCTGTACATATCTCGTTCTTTTTGGACATCTTTCAGTTTTCTCACTGTCTGGGAAAGTTTTTTGAGCACTCGTTCTCTTTCCGCAGCAGATCTTCCTGATGAGCCTGGAATATTCTCAGGATGTACATTAAATAAAGCATCCAATCGTGTTGGTGTTGATGGGGGAGTAGTTTCTTCTAGGAGCCTATTCAAATTTTCCTGAGTCCTTCTTTTTTTATATATATTCTGAAGATGTTCGTCTCCAGCATTTCGTTATCTGTCTTTTCTCTCTGTCGTTTCTTTCGTTGATTGTTTTGATTTTTCCTGCATTTTTTCGTTTGATGGTATCTTTCACGTTCTTTGCGCTTCGCTTCTTCATATAAATGAGGATCCAGTCTTATTCTTTCTCTCTTTCTTTGCTCAGACTCCCTTTTCAGTTTTCTTCGTTTATCTTATGATTTTTCCTTTGTATTTACCATTATTGCTTCAATATACCTACACCGAATAAAAAAATCTGATGAAATATGAAAATATGATGTGAAATAGAATGTGTGCATCGCTTTTTATCACATTCTGTTCAATTGTAATAATCATCTAAACTTGAGTATCATTGAATCTGAGCACATATTATGTGATGTGGAATTTCAATCAACGCAATTTTCCGAAGTGATACAACTCCATGGACTTGTTGTTCAACTCCATGGACATCTAAATACATGGAGTTGACGTCCATGGATTTGGTGTTCTATAGTTAATATTCAAATATTCACACTGCTATTAAACCTGACATCAAATTATTTCTCATGCATGTAAGACATTATTACTTATATATTACTAGGATATTCAACGAATCTAAATGGACTCAGTTTATTTGTGATCAACGACATGGAGTTGATTGTTAATAAAAATACTCACCTTGATTTCTAACTTTGCCTCCAGAATCCCGAATAAATTGCTTAAAGTTAACACGTTTCCATGACAATCTTCAACTAACTGCTCTTGCTTGAAATGATGACACCTTGAAACATTACCTCAGGTAACACCTATCGGTAGTTCTGACGAAAATAACAGGCGTCCATGGAGTTGAGTTTCAAAATGGTGTCACATATTATTCATACATTTTACAATAACATTTCGGTGAAATTTCCTCTTTGCTCACACTCTCGTTATTGTTGAATCCCTTGAGAATATATTAACTAAAAAATAGTTTCATAATAGGGTTTATTTAGGGGTTTTTGATTGATTCCATTTCACCCATAGCAGCTGGTTACAGTCCATGGAGGTGATTTCAAAGGAGTTTTTGCTTATAAAAATGGAAAAATATATGATTTTTTTCGTTCTTTTTTCAACTCATGTGAAGCACAAGTCATAAGCTATCATCTTCAATGTTTTTCAAGTTCCAACCTATTTGCTATATATTTTTCACATATGAGTTACATCATATTGTCCCCGTTCTGGAGAATGACCCAATTACCGAAAATTGATTTGGAAATGGTTAATTATTTTTATGTCTCTAACATACTAGAAAATCTCCACAGTTCCTCAGTGCTGAAATGAGGAATAGAAAATCTGAAAGGTAAGTTCGAGGGTAAGTTCCACAATATTCATTCAATTTTCATTGCTTGTACCTATTATAGTTGCATTGGAAAATTGTTCACCTGAAAGGATATTTAACATCAGAATACCCATCATATGGAGATTCCGAGGGAGAATCCTCATTAAATCAGTCACTGATCGATATGTTTACCTATGCAACAATATGATCAATTGGTATGAAACAATGTTATTCCCAAGACTAGATACTGCTTGCATCTCCCCCTGAATGTTCTTCTAGGAGATGAATCATTCATTCTTCAAGCAATTTCCCTATGAATTTCTGCAAAGCAAAACTACTACTATGATATTGTGTTTACCCAGTGAGGGGCGAGATTTGTTCTCAAAATTCCCAGCTAAATGATGTTTTTTTAATTGCAATTAGGCACAGAACATTTCTCAATCATACTTTTGTCGAAATATTTCAATTTAATATTCGAAAGTTGCAGAAACTTAATATAGGTTAGAATTGATCTTCTTCTTGTTCTTATCATCTATGTCCCAAAAATCAACTTGCCAATTCACCAATCTTGGTGCTTTGTGAGAAATCATGTATCATTCATCTCTGTCTGGAATAGTCTTGTTTCAGTATTAGAGTTTTGACGTCACATCATCGCCTCGTTTTCAGAGGTCCGAAAAATCGGGGATTTCAATAATTTTTTATAAAACGTAGGGAGCTCACAGCAAGAAACGGTTTGCGGTGGTGAGCTAGTTTGGGTGAGTTCTATCGAATTATGAAATAAAATTTTTTTGTGATATAAGCCCATTGTCACTGAAATAATCAGAACCTCAGGGGACACCCACGAGTGTTAGCTATTGTTGAATGGTGTTATTTTTTTTCACTCTGTTTAGTCAAGTCAAAACGCGTCTGAAAACATGCCTCCTTTCGATATCACCGCGTTCAATACGAGTTCAGACAATCGGAATTATAGTGGTTTCACAATAATGAAGTTATTCAATAAAAAACCCAATGGTTGATAAAGAAATATCAATTTTTCCTAAATATTCCTACTGGTGTTGAAAAAACAGAAAACTTTGTAAACTTTTATTCACAATAAGAAAACAAACATTTTAGCGTCCAAGTGAACTCGCTACCTCTGATAGTTATTGAGATATTAGAATATGTCAGCCTTTGAGAGGTTGTAGGCGGTGAACGACACGAATCTGGGGTGGCCAAGAAGAGGTGCGATGTTCCATATGATGAGTTCTATCAGTAGAAATAGGGCATTTGCTTCTTTCATTCCAAGCCCACGAAAGTACATAAGCGCGTACATATTCTTTTTTCTGAAATTTTGGCATCAATTGCCATGCACCATCGCGACCTCTGCGAGTTCTCGCAATACCGAGTTATTCTAGATATTCGTACACATATCCTTGTGACGAGTACTCCTGGCGATTTGCTTCGAATATTACCAGTGACAAGGTCTGTACGTATTTTTCCAGTCTGCCGCACACATAGGCTGGCGGTGAGGAATCCAGGATACTCGCACCAATCTCTACTAGCAATTACAGGTAATTCAATAAATTCAAGAAGAAATGCTCTTAGCTCCTAGGTCTCTGAGAGTTCGCATCACGAGCTGTTCCCGACATTCCCATGACATTATTTGGCGAGTTTCGAGATATCTTTGTATTCAGAAAAACTTGGAAGTATTTATTGGCTGCCAGCAGTCGCCTATTGAAATAGTGTGACTAGCGAACGCTTTGAATACCGTTGAGTTGAATTTTCCATTTGTTGAAGCCCGGGAACATCAGCGACGTGGGGCGTCAAAAGTCAGAAACAACAAACGAGATTCTGAATCTTCAAAGGCAATTTTGGAAAAAAAAATTAAAAATGAATGTTTCGGAACTGTTATCAATCAGGAATTTTACCTGGCGTCCTCCTCGTCCTCAGTTCCGAACAATATCTCCGTCAGCTCTTTTCTATCACAAACTCTGCACAATTTTGGGCACGGGTCCCCGCAGAACCCAACGCATTGATGACGGCATTTCAGCATTTTAGGGCATGGTTCGGTACACGGTTTCACCGAGCAGATTTCGCTGCACTTCCTATCGCATTTCTGATGTGCGCATTTCCTCGAGCACACTTCTGCGCATGGAACGCACACCTCTCCGCATTTCTTGGTGCAGCGGCCGTGGATGCATTTATACGTGCATCTGAAAAAGAGAGTAGGAGTTTCTAACTGAGATTATCTCATAGGAACTTATAGGAAAATATTCATGAGAGTCTATAAATATTGTGTACACCTCGCAGCATGTCTTGGTGCAGTGGTTCTGGTCACATTTGTACGTGCATCTGGTAAAAGACGAATAGGAAGAAGATTCTTGCTGGGATTATCTCATAGAAACTTTTAGGGGAATCGATACAAGGGTCCATGAATATTGAGTGCACAAGTCGTTGAACCACTTAGTGCATTGGCTGTGGTTGCACTTGCAGAAGTTTTCCCATCGTGCTGAATAATGAAGTAAAACCAATCCCGAAAGAAGGGGGAAAAACCCAAACAATAATAGACCTATAGCACTGATATCAGTGTTCTCCAAAGTAATGGCGGAAGAAGCCACCAACATTGAGCTCAGAAGGTCAGGAATCATTGATGATGTGCAATATTGCTTTCGGCATTGAAGATCAACTGAAGATTAGATATATCTGAAGCATTCGACCGTGTTTGGCAGCATGGACTCCTCCACAAAACAATCATCATATACTGCTTACCACCTCTGCTAATCTCTTATCGAGATTGCTTCATGTTGTGTGGAATGAAGTGCTGTCTGATACCATTGTCATCAATTCCGGCGTTCCACAAGGATCCATTTTGGTACCAATATTGTTCCTACTCCATATCGATGATCTATTGGCAGTAACCACTCGCCTTATCCAGAGCTTCGCAGCGTTCTCTTCCAGAATTCTCATTTCTCCTCAGGTAACTAAAAAATCACGATGACGGCAGGTCAACGCTGTTATCGAAGATCTTCCTAAAATAACAGTCTGGGGACCTAACACCAAGTAGAATTCAACGCCATCAGAAAGCAAGACTGTATTTTCTCTAGGAAGTCGAAACTCAGTATGCTTAATATTCCATGCCATAGTACCATCATTACCCTAGAGTCCACTATATCTGTGCCCGGTATTCCTATCAGAAATACTATCTCATATAAAAATCATGTCGAATTCATCGCCAAAGGTGTTTCACAGGAACTCGAATTCTCATATTCCGTGCAAAAAAGTATGGGAGAATGTGTTTCGAGTGCAAACTCCGTCATATTGAATTTCTTTGTAAATGAATCTAGAAGAAAGAGATTTTTTGGCGGGGATGTCTGAGTATCAGGTGCAAACCTCGTCGCATTGCTAGATGCAGTGTGTCTGTGGTGGCACTCGTTCATTGATCTGGAAGAATTAGAATCAGGAGGGTATTCTTGTTGAGAATATGCCATTAAATCGTATCAGGAAAATCATGTGAGTTATGAGTGTATAAATCGTCGATGTTTTTAATTTTCCTAGTGCATCAAAGGTTGTGGTGGCATTCGAGAGTGATCCTATAGATAAAGACGATTTCTCGACAGGAATTCCTCAAAGAAACGTATAGAAAAGAGTCTATGACTATCAATTACAAACTTTGCTGCATTTCTGAACACAGTGTCTCTGCCTCAGTCTCTTTTGTACTCGCATCCGGTAAGAATCGAATAATTTTATGTATTTATTCATGGAACAGATAACTTCCAGACAGGATAGGCTCTAGTATAAGAAAGTTCATCGTTATATACCTATAGGTAAATATGAAAAGATTATTGCTGAGAAGAAAATCTGCATCTTGAGAATGCTCACAGATTCCTAAAAAATGTGTGAAATAAAACATTATTCAGATATTTTGAGAACAATTTCCTCATTAAATTTCTGAAAAAAAGCTTCTAATTCATTTGAATGGGTGGTGTATTTCCAAAAACGACTTACTTCTTTTCGCAAGGTCTGCATGCCTCTCTGCACGGTATGGGACACTCGTGGTTGCATACCATGGGTACGCCGCACCTCTCCTGGCATCTGGCATGCACGCGGCCTTGAAAGCACTGGCCGCACGTGCCGCCGCATTTGTGTTCGCACTGCAAAGTGGCCAGGCAGGGCACCGAGCAGTACTTGGGTAGTACTTGGGCGTTCAGGAAGGGACCTTGGATAATAATAATATTAATAATCATAATTTGTATCAATTTGTCGTCGGAAAGAAACAAAAAACAATACCTACTATAAGTGGTAATCAGCCATGTATCGATAACAAGCTTTACTCCTGGACTATTATCAAAAGGCAAATGAGCGGAAGTCGCTTAATGACTAGACGGAATCAACTGCTACTCAACTTAGAGACCTCAGATCATATAATAGAATTTTCGATAATTTCACGCCTGAAATCGCTAATGAAATCATGAAACGAAACAATTAAGTGCATCTACATTTCCTAGAACCAACGGTTAGTAAGTTCCTACCAACCTAAAAATTTGCAAAATCTGTAGATAGAGGAGACTTCATTGTTTTCTAATCACTGACCGCCTATTGTCTTTCATGAATGAAATACAGAAAAAGATCTTGATTTTGGCAAAATCTTCATTTGGTCATTATTTTATAACCAATCTGTATAATTTTTTCATACTTGGTATATTACTCTCACTTAACCATGAAGACTGAATGAAAAACAAGATCTGAATTCCAGATCCGTCTAGCAAAACTTCTTATATCAAAATCAACACTTTGTAGGGCAACATCTGGTAGATCTGTTTAAATTTTTGAAAAGAACGGTGAAAAATGATTGTAAAGCCTCCTCATTCTTGAACACCCAAGAATGATAATAATTATATATGAAATCCTAACAAAGTTGAATTTATGCAGGTTGAAGTTTCTCACTGTTTATGAATCTGTTCAATACATAAATCTTCAGAAGGCATATCAGCCAATGGAGTAAGGTGCATGCCTGATAAGCCAAAGGTCCTGGGTTCAATCCTCACTCGGCATATGTTTTTTTGTCGAAGGGATGTTCCTGGAATATCATTGGGACATCCTAGGGATATCCTTTCTTTGTACTAGGTGTATTTTTGTCTGAAAGTGTATGTCCCGACACAGAATATCCCTGGGATGTCCTAGTATAAAATTAAGAATGTGCCTGGGAGATCCCTAGGATTTACTCGTGTTCTTAGGGTGGACAGACCATCAAAAGGTGCTTATCTGCAATACTGCAGAATGGGGAAAGATATTCAGCACCATTCTGGGACAATTTCAATACAAAAAAATGAATCTTCAGATTACAATTTCATCATAGTCGAATTAAGTGAACAATCGATATATTCGTTCGTTTCACAAAATAGTTAGTCAATGATTCTTTTCGAGAGCCCATTGTATTCTTCACTATATTTATCCATAAGCTGCGTTAAAGTAGGCTATGCACAACATTCTGAACTTCTGGCAGTTCATAATCACTGGTGTGATATTATTGGCAGCGATAAGGTTATTATTGTTGGTGCTCGTGTTGTGTTGCGTTGAGTAGGTAGTCCCGGTCTCCAGTCCAGCCCCTCCCCTCCAATTTTCTCCAAACCACGTGACTCGGCCGACCAATCACAGGCCGGCCTGACTCGGCTAGCTACTCGCGGCCTAGCGAACGGGTCGTCATCATCGGTTGGACTGCGATAGATCCGTTCTAGAGATAACGGCGCGCATTTCATTCCATTTTTCAACAACGGCTATATACAGGGTGTTTGAGTTGAGTAATAGTTTGGAAAAAAATATAGGGTGAACCCAAAAAGGCGTTATACCTCTCCGACCTACATATAAGTTGGGTAATAGTTGGGAAAAAAATATAGGGTGAACTCAAAAGGCGTTATACCTCTCCGACCTACATATAAAGGCTACCCGCTATAACATGATATATACAGGGCGTTTGAGTTGGATAGCAATCAAAGAAAAAATATACTGGACGCCTCACCCACTTTTGCGGGATTAGACAGCTGACGTATTACATTTGACAGATGACCAAAAAAAACGCTATCATACATCAATACTAGACAAAGCTCTTTGAGGTTATGTTCCATTTCAGACATTCGGTATAGCAAATTTATTTATTCTTTCTATGGTATGTTTTAACTCGTACAGCAATATATAATAATATAGTGCCACTGAATGATCAAGACCTCTATGTCATGTTGACATCATGTTAATATTGCCAGGGATAATCAACACTTAGGAATATTATACATATGGTGCCCCACTGAAAAAAGGAATTTCTTTTCGAGCCACCCTGTATAACATTGACATTTTCAGTTCGTCACCCCAGTTTCAAAATTATCGCATGTACGTGGGATACAATAGATTTTTGTGGAAGTTCGATTTGAACGATATGCGAATTCCATCACAGCCAGAGCTGCTTGATGATTATCTTCCTGAAGATTTAAAGTCTTCTCGAGTTTCACATGTTTTCCAAAATTCTGTGGGTAATCTAGTGACATTTATAAATGATAGTATGTATTATGCAGTATCTTTTCCGAATTTTCAAATCCACCAAAACTTTCGTTTTCCTTTGCCTTCTAAAGCAAAAATTAATGCTGTCTTCCAGACAAACAGTGGACAGGCTTATTTGTTATATAACAACGATTCTTACATTACATTTGATGACAATGGAGACATGAGCAACCGTGGGCCACTTAGTCACATCTTCCCAGGAATTCCAGCAGGCATAATATCAGCTTTTCGTTATATCGATGGAAATATATATTTTTTCGATAGAAATACATACTACAAATATAGTGAATATACTAGACGGGTAGTGAAAGCCGAACCGTTCAGTTGGAGCGTCTTTGGAATATCCTGCCCCAATGATGGATTACTTCATCAATTGAAAATAATGTTAACAAGAATTATATCACTTTACGAATAAACGATTAAATACCATTTTGTTTTATTCCAATTGTCACATGTATGCTGTCTCAGTCACGAGTGTTCAGTATGATGTTCAGGCATGTGTGTTGAAAAAAAATGCATCAATTTTCGAGATATATAATATTAGCATGGAAATGCCGACCTCAACTAAATTGTTCAAATAAATAGTCGATGTTCATTAAAATGTATGTAGACGTTTGGAGGAGTGACTCTCACGATTTTATTGCACTAAATAAAATACCTACTTTGTTTTTCAAAAACCCACCCTTCACACTTCATCAAGCTGTCTCCTCCTCCTCCTTGTACTTTCACAGACAGTAACACACCTTAGCGGTAGGGCTCGTAGGCTTCTCGTACAGGCAGCAACACACCTCATTGCCCTTCTATATGTCTTATATTCCCCCCTTCTTGTTATTTCAATGGCATCGTGGCCCTCTTCTGTTGTACGGTGCTGGTTGGAAGTAACTGAAAGTGGTGAAACTGAAACATAATGTGAGTTGCAAGTGTTGTACAAATTCTCGAGAATCAAATAGGCCATCATTTTGAAAGAGGTGTGCGCATGCGTCACAAAAAAAAAAACGTCACTCTATATGAGTGACAGGGCTAAGTGGTAGTATGACAGGAGTCAATGGCGGTGTGAATGACAGTGTGGCGGTGTGAATGACAGTGGGGCGGTGTGAATGGCGGTGTGAATAGCGTTGTGGCGGTGTGAATGGCAGTGTGGTGGTGGGAATGGCGGTGGGACTGTGTGAATGGCGGTGTGAATGGCAGTGTGGTGGTGGGAATGGCGGTGGGACTGTGTGAATGGCGGTGTGAATGGTGTGACGGTATGGTTAGTGTCGGGTTTATAAAGATGTCAGTTGTTGTCCTGACTTCATACTGTTAACATCATAGTAGGAAGAAAAATATATTACGTCTTGAGATGTTTGCTTGTCAGCAATGCAGCAAGAAATTCAAGTGGGCCTATGGATTGAAGCGGCATATGGATAGTCATGACGAAAAAGTTTTCAATTGTCATTATTGTGTGGACAAATTCACAAGATTGGATAGCATGAAAAAACATTTGGCGAGAAAGCACAAAGGGAACGACCTGGTTAATCCCCAAAACGAATCGATCACCACTGATCAACGAAATGAGTCGAACTCCATTGATAGTGATCACCAATTATTGTCCCAAAGCCAGTCGAATTCTGAGATTGGTCAGCAGTTGAGTCAAAATGATGCTATCACGGATGATCCTTGTGAGAATGAAATCGAAGATAGACATAAAAAAATTGTGGACTTAGCTGAAATTGTGAGAAATAAATATTTGGCGCTTGAACAACTGGCTGACGTTAAAGTACCTATGAAGCGTTCAAATTCAACATGTCTGAAGATGATCAAGCCGAGTAAGGAATCGCGTCCTGTCAAGTATTCATCTCACATTCAGAATGGCCATAAAAGTACTCGGTATTCACCAAGAGATGACAGCAGCTTCGACATTCTGAGGAGAGGTGGAATAATAAGAGGAGGAAGCTCCAGGAAAGCAGATGAAATAAAATTAGAGCATAGATTGTGTAGAGGTCTTTTGGTATTTTAGTTGAAATAAATAGTATTTCTTTGAATCTCGTTTAATTTCTATTAATACTGAACTGAAACATGAAATGGGTACTCAGCAAAGTGTCTGAGGCCTGATAGCATCTAGCAATTGTTGACATCTAATAACAAAATTGATGTCACGATGGCAATATTGGTGATAATTATCCTAATGAAAAAATTCCCCTCTGGGTCATTAAATTGACACCTATATTCTCAACATATAGAGCAAAACCATGCGCATACTTACTTGAGCAATGATTTTCAACGACGTTTGCTTGTCTTCTGTTTTACGATCAATTGTGCATAAATCTGACATGGTTGGCTACTGCTGGCTTGCTGTTCTCTCATCATCATCATGCATCCGATACTTCAACAGCTGGTCCTCCGTTTCACCAATGAGATGTAATCTGAAACTGCAGTAGAGCATGAGACGCAAGGTCTCAGTATGTGTACAAATAAAGTTCATTATAATATGAAAATATTTCAAGGTTTAGATGGAAAAATCCGCCACTGGGGTTGGGACCCAGTCTTGGACAGCTCTTTTCATCCTCCACTAAAACCCCCACTGCTTCAATCTCGGATGAATGAAGAGCAAACCCATCGTTAATCCTTTTGAAAATATTTCCACAATAATGATATTATTCAGATCATATATGTATGTATAAATGGAAA